AAATAAAATCTATAACTAAATGCATAATTTTTTCGATTTATGAAATAGACCAAGCAGAAGTCGAAGAATCCGTACCCTTGGGGCCACATTGTAATTGCAATAATGACAACAGAGCTGGTGAGCAATATCTACTAATATTGTTATTTAAGTTAATTAAAATTTATTTTATACATGAAACCTTTACAAAAATATAAATTCTGTTTTATTAAATGAAGTGATGACACGTGAATGGTACTAAGTCCAAAACAAAATTACTTTTGTCATAATATTATGCTGTAAATAGAAACGGCGTTTTCCTTCTTATGTAAAATTAATTTTTTGTACCTTAATAAAATATTTATAGTTAGATCATTTTTTTTTGAAACACAAATTTTATTCATTTATACAAAAATATTGTTTTTAAAAAATTTAGATTCAGTGCCATTGAATGCTGAAGATGGTGGAAACAACTCTTCAGTTACTGTAGATTCAGTACCATTGAATGTCGGTACCGACAAACTTGAATCAGTTCCACTTTAAGCATATCCAAATATTAAAAGAAGCATATATAAAATAACATTACATTAATTTCAGTTAAATTTTAATTTAATTGTATTTTCAATATTGTTAATTTTATTTTCAAATATAACTTTACATAATAGTCTATTCGATTTATTTTATTTCAATTGTCTGAAAAGACATGAATAAATAATCCTTTCTTGTATCTAATCAAATAAATTATGTAGAGTGGTTATATAAATATGAAACATTAGACAGCTGTAATGATATGTAAATATTAGAAATTTGAAATTATAGATCAATTATACTTAAAAATATAAAATGGTAGAATGTAACTTACATATAAGCTATTCAGTAAATAAGAAAGCAGATTTCTATTATTCTCATTTGTTGTAACAACTGACCTGTTTCCTTACTTACTGAACACTCTGTATAATGTTACTAGATAAATTATTCAAATACTGCATAACATAATTGTGAAATTAAAGACATTAATTATGATGACAAAAGGTTAAAACACAAAAAGGGACATAAAAACTTATAAAGTGTAACAAAGTCTCACTTTTCCGAATACCCGTGAAAATTAATAAAACTAGTATTAGACGACGCGTGATTCTGCTCAATTATAAGAATCAAAAGTTTTTGTCTTCTACGTTTATT